TGCGCAGCCCTGGGCTGGCACCTCGGGGTCCGGCTGGCTTCCCGAACCACAGCCGGGATGCTAGAGGATGCTGGCCCGGGAGCTCGGGCGGTCTGGGAGCGGGCCCCTCGGCCACCCCTCGGAGGACCAGGGGCCCCCGGTCAGCGTTCTCCTTCGCAGCGCTCCCGGCGCGCAGGTGGCCGTCACCGCCCCCGCCGTGCACAGCAGTCGGGCTCCCGGGCTGTTCCCAGTCCCCTGGACCGCGTCGAGGAAACCTGCCGAACAGGGGCAGGGAAAGGCGCGTCCCCCTCCTCCGGGCGCTCCCCACACGAAGACTCTGAGAGCTGACGCTGGTGCCAGTTCTCTTTGCAGGGGAGGGGCTGCCTTCTGCGCAGTGGGTGCCCCGCGCCCCGGCCTCCAGCCACTGGTTGCTGCCAGCATCTCTATCTTGGCGGTGGCAGTCAGAATGGTCTCTAGACGTTGCTGAATGCGTTCTGGGGGCACATTCATCGTCCCAGCCCCCAGCAGAGGCCACTGAAGCAGTGGGAGCCCCACGCAGGAGGAGTTGAGCGGGGACAGCCGTCTGCTGCTCCCCGCAGAACTGCACAACCCACACTGCCCGGTAGCTGTTCGCACCGTCTCCAGGTTGCCCGCAGTGCAGGGATGGAGCCTGGGGCTTTCTGTGGATGACGTGCAGGTGGCTGACCCGCCAAACTGTACAGACTTTGGCCGTGGAGCTCCAGTCAGCTCAGTGAAAGCTAATAAAAGTGTGGCTGCATGTGTGTACTTAGATCACGATGTTATTCTCTTCCTGCGGGTCAAGGTCAAAAGCCTGAAAAAAATCACTGGGTATACTGTCTATACAGAACAGCTGGTTTGCTTTAACTTTTGACAAAAGCTCTTCCCCAACCGTCAGCCTGGAACGCGGCTGTACACCCCACTGAGAGTGAGCAGGACACCAGTGAGGGGAGAAGCGCTGGCCACCCGGAGCGACGGCAAGAGGCCAGCCCCGGCAAATGGTGAGGGGACAGGGCTCCCTCAGCCCACCTGAGGCAAAAACAGGCAGTCTAGTTGAAGTGCTTTTTATTTTTAGACCAACCAACACTTTTAATATAAAAACACTTTAATATACAAACGAGTCACAACAGCATCCGTGTAGCGGAGAGGCAACTGGGTCCAGAGGTGGTGGGTGTATTGAGGGAAGGTTTTTTGGGGTGCCAGATGCTTCCCTTGCCCAAAATCGCTCTGTGGCCCCAGAGAGCAGTGGTCTGGGCACAACAGGTGCCTCCCATGTGCCAGCTTCTCCCCAGGGCAGCCCCTGTTCCTCAGTGTCCTGGGCAGTTTTCTAGGGATTGCTGGATTGGAAAGACCTAAAGGTTGTAACCAGATGTCGTCTGTGATGTGGGGAAGCCAGAGGGGCCCCAGTGAGATGTTCGGGAAGGGACAGGAATGGGGGGTCTTACCAGGTATCAACAAGAATGCCTCAAGGCAGGAAGGTGTAGGAAAGAACTCTGGGTCCGTGGCGCTCATGGCGGGAGGAACTGGTGGTGTGTGCAGAAGGGAACCGCACATATCGGAGAGAATGCACAACCCAGGGACCTGCTGCTTACTGGAACAGAGCTGATCTTGTGGGCCCAGCTGGGAGAGACCTGAGGCCGGCTCACTCCCTGGGGCCACATTTGACAGGCCTGAAGCAGTTGGTGGCCCTGAAGTCCTGAAGATGCCCCACACAGCTCCGGGAGGCCTGCGGACCCCTTTAGATGCAGTCCATGGAGTTCTCGGGAAGGAGGCTGGGGATGCAGCCTGGGCGGGCCAGGCCCTTCACCGGCGTGTAGCTGAGCGGGAGGCCACAGCCCAGCGAAGGGCCCTGATTCTCAGTGGCGTCCAGCCTGTCTTCCTGGTTGTCCCAGTTGATGTGGAAGCGGGTCACGCGGGGGTTTGAGGCCAAGATGTTCCGCTGGAGCTGGGGCAGAAGAGCAATGTCAGTCCTTGTCCCTGTGCCCTGTCATGATGTCATGACGCATTTAGAGCTAGGGTACCTCCAAGCCCCTGCCTCAAGCCCAGAAAGGACAAAGGTTGCTTATCTTGTCCCCAACACATGCACAACCATGGGGACTGCTGTGACCAGGGCCAGGAGCAGGGCTGCCTGGTCCTGATTCCCTAGGGTGCCTCCATGAGAAGCAAAGACTCACATTCTCTCTCTTGCCTGACACCGGGAATGGAGCACAATTTGAAAACGGCTTCTGTTCCCCTGCCTCACCCCTCCCAGTGCACAGGAATTGTATCCCAGGCAGAAGTGCGCACGAGGCAGCCCACCTGGGAGAAGTCGGGCTTCAGGGGTGGGTTCTCCCGAAGCTCTGGGTTGGGGTACTCGTTGTTGACATAGTAGCCCACACGGATGAACTCCTGTCCATGGTAGGTGCAGGTGATGAGGACCACGGTCACACCAATGGCATCTGTCTCTGGGATGAGGCTTGGGTTGGGTGCGTCGGCCTGGAAGAGACACATTCGGGGCCTTAGCCATGATCATTAGCACAGAATTCCTAAGCAACATGTGCTTCCATAGCATGAAGTCTGCTCTGGGCCAGCAGGGGTTTTCAGTCAACCGGGATTAGACAGAACCAATCATAACCATGACTGTTAAATAGTAAATGTGGGCTAGGAGTGGGCATGGTGGCACACACCTGTAATCCAGCACCTGGGAGGCTGAGGCAAGAGGATCTATGTGAGTTCAAGGCCAGTCTGAACTATGTAGTAAGACCCTGTCTCAACCAAAACCAAAATAAACAAAAAAGGTAAATGTGACAAAAAGGCACAGGGTGCCCAGGAGGAATGTAGCAGAAAGTGGTCTAAAACAAACCTGGCAGGGCATGGTGGCATATGCCTATAATCTCAGCCATTCAAGAGGGCTGTACACTGTGGCCAGCCTGGCCCACTTAATGAAGCCCTGTGTCAAAATGTAAAAGGGCCGGGGATGTAGTCTGGCACTCTCTGGGCTCAACTGCCAGTACTGGGAAAAGAAAACGAGGCTGGACTGGGCCAGCCCAGTAAACCTGAGGGAGAGCAGTGTCCAGAGGGAGGTGAGCGCCCCAGGTCACCACAGTGAGTGGGGAGCTGAGACAGGGGCAGCAACACAGATGCAGCAGCAGCAGAGGTCAGAAGTGCCCTGGGCAGGACCAGCTACAAAGGGCGCACAATGGAACTCCTGCAAATGACAATACAGGGCCTTTACACACAACTGCGATTCATCAGACAGTGGCAGCACAGCATCACCTTGAATGCGGGCCCTGTGCAACTGCCCAGGTTATGCGCTGGCAGGCTGGCTTTGGGCAGCAGGGCGAGCTGGTGGAGGAGGTGGGGTGTCAGTCAGAGGGAACATGGTCACTTGGGCTGGCAACACTGGCAGACAGGGAGGCCAGCAAGTAGCCTGGAGACCACAGCTGCTGTGCTCCTGAAGAACCTGGTGGGCTCCGGGCTGCATTCCTAACAGGTCAGGAAATGCCAGGCTAGGCAGCACAGGCAAGTGACAGCACGTCCTCGTGCACGGAGCCTGTGTCTGCAAAGTCACTTATGAACATTTATTTGTGACCACAGAACCAGTATTTGCACTATTTTTGTGGCCATTTGGAGACATGCATAGAGCAAGGGAAAACTAGTCACCTGATGCTCAGGTTCCAACCAAATGCCAAACAAGGTGACATCCTGCCTTTCTTTGTGCATGTGTGTGGTACTGGAGACTGGACCCAGGATCTTCACACTGGCTTACATTCCTGTATCTTTTTTAACTTTTTATTTTGAGACATGGTTTTGCTGAGTTGTTTTAATTTTCTTTCTTTCTTTTTTCTTTTTTTTGTCTTTTTAAGACAGGGTCTCACTATGCAGTTCAGGCTGGACTTGCGCTCACTTTGTAGCCCAGGCTGGTTTCAAACTCGCAATAATCCGCCTGCCTCAGCCTCCCGAGTGCTGGGTCTACAGGTGTGCACCCCCATGCCTGGCTTGGAGTGTGCCTCTGGAGGATGTACCTCTTGCACTCTTCCTGCCTGCCCTGCCTCCTGGCTGCCACGAGGGGAGCAGATTTCCTACACCAGGCCCTTGTGCCTGACAGCCAGCAAGCCATGGATTGAAACGTCCAAAACCCTGAGCAAGAAGAAATCTGAGGCTGCAGGTGTTAGGAACTTTGTCCCAGTGGCAGAAAAGCTGACTAACTCAAAGTCTTTACACAGAGACATACAAAACAGGCTACGGATTGAAAGTCGACGAGAAGTGATGCTGCTTCTCCTTGCGGGTTTCGGTATTCACCAATCTGGCCTTCCTTGGGACTTTCTCGACACAACGCCAGTAAGTGATGAGGACTGGCTATACAGTACTGGTTCTTTGTCATGCTGTGACAGGGATATGTAAGTGAGGTCAGAAAGCTCCTGAGTGTAAGCCGAACATTCTCTTTTCTTTTTTGCAGTGCTAGGGATGGAACCCAGGGCTTTATGCTGGCTAGGCAAGCACTCACCACTGAGTGACATCCCCTTCCCTCCCTTCCTTCCTTTCTTTTTTTCTTTTTGAGACAGGGTCTCAACTGTGCAGTTCAGGCTGGCCTTGAGCTCACTTTGTAGCCCACGCTGGTCCCAAACTCGCAACGATCCTCTTGCCTCAGCCTCCCAAGTGCTGGGATTACAGGCGTGTGCCACCACATCTGGCTATTTTTTGTTTTTGAAACAGACTCTTGCTATGTAGTTCAGACTGGCCTTAAACTCGCTATGTAGTCCAAACTGGCTTGAGCTTATGTTAACCCTCCTGCCTCAGCCTCCTGAGTACTGGGATTACAGGCATGTGCCACAATGCCCAGCCTTCTCTTTTGTTCTTCCTGTTGAGACAAGGTCTCCTTAAATTACCCAGGTTGACACTGACCTCCTGATTCTCCTGCCTCAGCCTCACAGGCGCTGGGACTGCAGATATGTGCCACTACACTAGGTTGAAATTTTTTTGTTTTGAGACAGGTTTTCATTGTGTAGTTCAGGTTGCTTTAAACTCACTGAGTAGGCCAGGCTGGCCCTAAACTCACAATGATCCTCTTGCCTCAGCCTCCTGAGTGCTGGGATGACACAAGTGTGCCGCCTTCAACCTGAAGTTTTGAGTGCTGAACTATACCGTATTTGGGTAAGAGGAAATTTCTAGGCTGGGGATACAGCTCAGTGGTGGAACATTTCCCTAGTAGGCACAGGACCCTGGGTTTCATCCACCACACCAGAGAATTTTAAAAAACGGGGAGTGACTGAGTGTAGTGGTGCATGCTTTTAATCTCAGTACCCTGGAAGTGCACCCAGGCCAACTGCAAGTCCCAGGCCAACTTGGGCTACATAGTGAGACCCTGCCTCAAACAGGCCCCTCACCAAAAAAAACCAACAACAAGCCTCACCCCCCAAGAGGTTTCTACAAATCAAGGGCTAAAGTGCCATCTTTCTTACCTGAAAGACAAACATATGTCTTCCTGCGGGGACTGGGCCGACCAGCACAGAGTCCAGGATCTGATCAAACTCCTCACTCTCGGCTGAGCCCACATAAATGATCTTCCATTCCAGGTCTGCAGGGACATTGTGGGGAGGTCAAAGCACTAAAATCACAACAGCAAGAAGAGGGGGACAGGGCTTTTTGTGTTAGTTTGGACACATTCTCAATTTACTGAGGAAGCCTGGGAACTAGGGGCAGGAGCACGGCTCGACTGGTGGTGGACATTTCTCCTGTGGGCCCAGCCCTGCCTGGCGACCTTGAGGCTGGCCTCCAGGGAAACTTGGGCCTCTCAGAGGCCAAGTGTGAACCGTATGGCAGGGGCTGAATTAAGAGCCACGTGACCCAGGCATGTTGCGGAAGAAGCAGCAGGGAGCTGGGCCACTCTGGGCCCTGCCCTCCGGGTGCCACCGGGATAGGAAGCAGCATCCTCTTTCACACACAGGGACTGGTGCCACTGAGCTGAGTGGATCCCTCGACAACTAGGGCAGGGCAGGGTGGCAGATTCCGATCCAGCAGGACAGCCAGCTGGTCCCCAGGTCACCCAGACCCGGTACCAAGTCATGCCTACTTATGGACACACAGCGACAGGGCTCAGCAAACACTCTTAAGAGGCAGCCTTGCAAACCTAACTCTGCCTCCCATCCAGGAAAAGGGCCAGCCTGAGCATGCGCAGAAGGGCCAGAGGAAGGGCTTGTGGGGACCCTTCTGTCAATCACAGCTGCTCCCGGCCAAGTGTATCAGGGGCAAGGTCATGCTGGTACACAGAAGCTTGGCAGGAGATAGGGAACTTATTTTAGGTTCTTTGAAATTACACAACCCACGGCTCCAGCAGCTGGGGGAAGTTTCACAAGCTGTGATTTTCACAGGAAGTAAACTCTTGGAAGCCGCTCTGTCCCTGGGTCCAGCATCACATAAGCATCCAATGTTGCAAGTGCACAGATATTGAGCCATAACAGCACAGGGCTGTCACCTGAGCCCCAAGCTCTTCCTCGATACACTGCTTCTTGTGCCTCTGCGATTTCACCCAGGCCCTTAATGCAGGGATGCTAAGTCTGTGGGATATGGGTGGCCAATTTGGTTCAGTGGGGTTCAGCCAAACCCCCAGAATTATAGATTTATTTGTTAAATGTAGTGACACAGTGCGGCATGGTGGAGCACGCCTGTAATCCCACTCGGGAGGCTGAGGCAGGAGGATCACCATGAGTTGGCGGCCAGCCTGGACTGCATACTGAGACCCTGCCTCAGAAAACCAAAACACAAATGAACAAAATAAAAACAAACAAAAAAAACAAGCAAAATCATGTTGGCAAAACTAAACAAAGAACAGGTGGATGCTGACAAGAGACAGTGTACTGCAGGTGCCAGAGGAAACTGGGCCATGATGGCTCTTTTGACACCGACCAGACAGACACGAGAATGAACTGAGCTACAGACAAGTACTGACTCCAAGGTTAGAGAAGCTGGCTGACAGACCAGGTACGGATGGCAGAAGATGACTGAAACTGGGTCTGCAAACTGCAACTGTCTTAAGTTTGCTGAAGTGGCTTAAGTGGACATATTTACAGCGGACATATTTATTTGCTTTACTTTGTGATACTGGGGATTGAACTTGGCCTCATGCACGCCAGGCAAGTGCTCTACCATTGAGGTGCCTGCAGCCCCTTAAAGAGTTTATTTCTGAATACATTTAACCCTCTGCATAGGTTCAACCAGCCATGCATGGATGGAAGATGTTAGAGAAAAAAATTACGTTGGGTGTGGAAGTGCACACCTGTAAACCTCAGGAAGCTGAGGCTGAAGGACTGCAAGTTTAAGTCCAGCCTGGAGCAACTGAGCAAGACCGTTTCTCAATAGAGAATAAAGAGGGCTGGTTGGGGATGCAGCTCAGTGGTAGAGTGCTTGCCGATCATGCCTGAGGCTCTGGATTGATTCTCAATACTGCAAAAAAACCCCAAATCACAATCAAAATGTTTGTGTTGAACCTGTGTGGACTTTATCATCACTCCCTAAACAATATATAGAACAATGATTTTCACACTGCGTGCATAATATTAAGTACGTACATCATTGGCAGGTGGTGGAGACTTACACAGAGGATGCTATATATGTAGCTCCACGCAAACACCGCAGCGTTTTACAGAGAGACTTGATCAGGTGTGGATTTTGGTACCCGAGGGGTCCTGGAGCCCATCCTGAGAGGTCTGTATAACCTCTCTCAGGACTGGATCTGAGACACCAGTTATCTGCGCAGCGCAAACTCACCTCTACCAGACACAGAACACAACTACACACATAACCTGTGTACAAGCCTTTTGGGCAACGTCAAGGTAATTTCACTGTATTTCATTCTGTCTTGAAGCCCCAATTTGTCAAGTACAAAATATACCTCTACTATGTATGAAAACAAAACCCAAACCAACACTATGATTACAGAAACTGTCAAGCATTCTACCACTGAGCTATAGCCCTTAGCCTGCTTGCTTTTTTTGTTTCGTTGAGACAGGGTCTCGGTTATGTAATTCAGGTTGGCCTTGAACTCCCAGCGATCCTTCTGCCTCACCCTCCCAAGTGCTGGGATTATAGGTGTGCACCACCACAGCTGGCTCACTTGCTTTTTTTTTAAAACATAATGTATCTAGTAGTTAGCACTGTTTTTGCTCATAACCACACAGACAAACCTAGCTTTCACTGCAGCCCATCAACTCTGGGTCAGAACATCTGGCTTCTCTGACTTCCTCAGCTTGTGCCTTGAGTTTCTCAGCTCAGTGGAGGGAGGACCCATACCTACTATATTAAACGTACACCTATGTTTCGGGACCAGCTGTTTCCAGATGCCAAGGAGGACACAAGGGGGCTTACGGCCCTTGGGAGATGGAGTCACCTGACTAGAAGTTGGGGGTTCAGTCAGATCTTCAATCAGCAGTGGCAAGAGGAAGGCAGAAAGCCAGCTGGGAGATCTGGCAGGGAGAGCCCCAGGAGGAACCAGAGTCTGGAACTTTAACCGGAGGTTCCTGAGGCCAAGCTTTCTTGGTTGGGTATAATTAGTGTAGCACCCCATTCTGCTTTTTTTTTTTTTTTTTGATATTGGGAATCAAACTCAGGACTTTGTGCTTGCCAGGCAGGTGATTGTGCTGCTGAGCTATATCCCCAGTCCCCATTCTGTCTTTTGATGGTGAATTTTTCTGAGGTACTGGGAGTTAAATCCAGGGCTTTCACACTGAGCTGCACCCCCAGCCCCAGGGTCTCACTGAGTTGCCTAGGCAGAACTTGAACTTGTGACTCTCCTAGATTGCTGGGATTACAGACGTACACCACCATGCGAGGTGAGGGTATCATTTGGCAAGAAATTCTGCTCCTGCTCCACCTCTAAAATAGAACATGTTGGGCTGGAAGTACAGCTCAGTAGTAGGATGTATGGCCCTGGGTTTGAGTCCCCCCACCAAAAAAAAAAAAATATTATCTTGCTTTTCCAGGATGAGAGCAAAGATAAAAACCTGGTTTCAGAACTCAAGAGACAAATGCTAGTGCCAACGCCATCTATAAACTGACTGGAGTGACTTGGCGAATTCACTGTCTCTACTAAAAAAAATGTCCAGAAGGTTGACTGGAGCCTTTCTGCTCTCATTCTATAAATAAGGAATAAAAGTACTAGGTTATGACCATGCAACCATTTTTAAATGCAAGGAGCACAAACAGGCTGTCTGAAACCCGATCTCCTGCCATCTGGGAACTGTGAATCCCTTAACCTATTAGCTCCTTACATCTCAGCTTGGCTTTTAAATTAAATCTTATTCCACAGCCTCACTGGATACTTTATATATTTATTTACACCCTGCCTTGTTCCAGAGAGGATTTAACTCCGCTTATTCTATAGTTAGTCACAAGTAGATTTCTTAATTTAAAAAGGACTGAGAGAAACCAGGGAGTGGCTGACCACTGGCCCACCCCTCAGGCGCACAGCCTCACTAATCCAAGCGGCTAGCTTTGGCAGCAACCACTCCTCTGCCACCACAAGGCGCTAGTTAGCACATCCCAGCTTCGAGATTTCCACCTCCTTGGCTGCTACCTCTTCTCTTTCGGCCACCAATCCACAAATGGTCTAATGGAGGACTTCCTGCCGAAAACTGGCCTAACCTCAGAGTGGTACCAGAGTTCCCCTCTAAAAGGGTGACCTTTAGAGGTGGGGAGACTTTTCTTTAAAGGCCTTTTGCTCCTTGTGACTCCTGTCCTCTCTCTTAGATGACAGCCAAAGCTACCCCACACGGATGAATAAGTCGCTGTGAATGCATTTTGGCAAAGATGTACGGCAGGCCTCGACCTCCCAGCTGACTGTCTGAAGTCATATTGTGACACAGGGCCGGGCGTGGTGGCGCACACCTGTAATCCCAGCACTTGGGAAGCTGAGAGAGGAGGATCGGTTGCGAGTTCGAGACCAGCCTGGGCTACAAAGTGAGCTCAAGGCCAGCCTGAACTGCACAGTGAGACCCTGTCTCAAAAAAAAAAAAAAAAAAAAAAGATTGTGACACGGGTCAGCTCACCCTACCCGCTACCCAGGAGAGGTCAGCTCATCAATGTGAGGAGGGGGCTGCGTGCAGTTAAGTGAGCTGGCTGGAGCGCGGAAGAACTTCAGGAGCCGGGGATGCCCGCCAGGCTATGCCATCCTGACTTACATGCGCTCCCTACATGCACAGCTGAGGGAGGGGGGAGCTCATCTTAAGTGGGGGGATCAAGCCACCCTCCTGGGCCGGAGCTAGAAGCCCTGCCACCCTTCCTGTTGGTGGGGGCTCAAGAGTGGGAGGGGGGCCGGACTAAAGAGGGAGCCCAGGTCGGGGTGCATGCATGAACAGACAGCGGCAGCAGTTATGAGGGGCAGAACTAGAGTTGGGATAGGTATCAGGAGAGTAGAGAGGGGATGGCTGGGGGTCAAACAAGGAGATGAGGTGAATGCCATGGGGGCGGGAGAGAGGTTTTCACAGGGAAAACGAAGGGATCTGCAAGGGAGCTGGAGCCTGGGGTCACCCTAGGGAAAGAGACGAGAAGGTCTCATCACAGGGGAAGAGAATGCACGGCAGTGTCCGGGGGAACACCGGCGGCGGGGGGCCGGGCCGGGGTCCTGCCACCGGGAAGGCGAGCGGCTGAGAGTCTCCCGGGCAAAAGGAGGCGAGAGCCTCTCTCCGGGGCAAGTCCGGACGCGGCGGCTGCGGGAGGAGGAGAGCGACTGCTTGGGGGTGGCTCCGGGGAGACGCGCGGACCCGCGGAAGCGGAAGCGAGGATACCCCGGGAGATCGGTTGGCCACTGGGACGTTCTCTGCGGAGAGAGGCGTCTCGCGCGGGCCCTGCTCACCGTCCGCCAGGGGCTCACTGCACTCGAAGCTGATTTCGAACCGGAAGGGGTTGTGGAAAGGACTCGGGTTCTCCAGCACTGCCACGTTCAGCACCGACACCTTGGCCATCGCCTCGCCGGGCCGCGGCTGCAGCTGCGGCGGGGCCCACGTCTGGGTTCGGGGACGGCGGGGGCGGGAGGGGAAGATCACAGCGTCCACCGCCGCTTTTCACCGCCGACTGAAGTGCGCACCTCGTCCGCGCGCCGCCTTCAAATAGCTGGTCCCACCTTCCGGCCAATCACCGCAAACGCTGCCTGGGCGGTGCGAGGAGCCCACCAGCCAATCCTAAAGCGCGGACTGGAGCGCGCCCAGACTCTGTGGGCCAATTAGAGAAACTCCCTCTTTACGTCGTGCGAGGCAGGCGGGACCACCTCTAGGCTCTTAGAGAGTCGTCAGGAACCAATCCCTAGCGTCTCCGATTCGAGGTCCAGGGCGGGGATGGGCGGAGTCAAATCGTGGAGAGTCTCTCGGCCAATCCTAAGGGTTCCCGCACCTGCATGGCCCGCCTCTCACCCCGCCCCCTTAGGAGTCACTGTCTGCAGAGGACGACTCCACTAACTGCCGAGCGGTGGCGCACAGCACTCACTTAAGAGGGCAGAAAGGGCGGTACCCGCGCCCAGGATGATTGGCAAGGGGGACTGGGGCGGGGATAAAGCGCGTTGCTGAGAGATGATTGGTTTGATTGGCTTCGGGCGAGGACGGGCTTGGCTAGGGATTCGCCGAAGAGGAGCGGAAGTTGTGAGCAGGTCAGTGTGTGTGCGGAGGAAGGCGAAGTGTGGGCATCTTGGGCGCTGGAGCAGGTGCGCGTCGCTGGGAACCTCTTCGAGGAATCCTGTCGGCGAGGCCGGCGGCCCGCGAGCCCGCTGTGAACGTTGTGATGGGTTGCCTGCCCGCCGAGGGGAGACGGAGCGGCGAGGCTGGTTCGAATCTTGCTGTGGTCCCCACAAGGGACATCCGGAGGCTTCACGTGGACGCTGCGGAAGTGGGAGTTGGAGCCGGGGAGCGGGGTTTGAGTCCCGTCCCTGCTGCAGAATCTGGAAACCGCCCATTGGAAAACACACAGACCCACACCCCTGGCTTTACAGTTGTTGGTAATCACAGTGGGGTTTTTTTGGAGGGGGGATCTGCTTTTTGAGACAAGGTCTTGCTATGTAGTCCAGAATTCTCAGCGATCCTCCTGCCTCAGCCTCTGAAGGCTGGGATCACACGTGTGTGGCTCCTGTGTGCACCTCACCCAGCAAGACTCTCCAGTCACTGGATGTAGCCGACCTGGCTTCCTAAAATTTGCAGTCGAAAATGTCGAATGATGTGCCTCAGCTCTTGCTGGTATACTAAAGCGTCCTCCAGTTCATGAGCTCAAATCGCATATGGCTTTTTCACACTTTGAATTTGCTTTAGATGTAATCTAGAGTTTCATTTCTCAGTGGCATTTAATTAGAATAAAGTAAAATTGAAAGTTCCGTCTTACTGTTGCACTGGTCTGAGTCATGAGCCCCTATGACAAGTGGCTGCTGTGCTGTGGGACAGGGAAGTAGGAAATACGCAGTCACGTCACAGCCAGGACAAGAACTTTTCCCACAGCAGGAGGCTTTGTTTCCTGTCAGCCACCCAGCCCCAACTTCAAACCAGCTGAACAAACCCTCTTTTCTGTACAAATCAATCAGGCAATTCCCAGTGTAAAGCCTCTACCCAAACCTCCTCTCGGTGTGATGGACAATGCCTGTGGTCCCAGCACTCGGGAGGCTGAGGCAGGAGGATCACTGTGAGTTTGAGGCCAGCCTGCACTGCATAGTGAGACCGTTTCAAAGACGCACAAGCAGAAACTTCTCGCAGCTTTCAGCAGGGCTGCTGCCTTGTCATTAGCCCTCTCAGGTCCAAGTCCCATCCTCAGCCCTCCCCTGGGATTCCCCTAAGCCTTGTCCTGTCTGAGCTACAGTGTCTCTCACCTGCCCTCTCTGTGTCCTTGGCCTCGGTGGAGGTTTAAGGCCTCATTGTACCAGGCATTTTAAATTTTTTTTTATCTGCATCTCACATTAAGTGGAAAAGACTGTCTTTTGGCTGTTAAAAAAAAATCTCCTTTTGCAATTATTTGGCTGAAAGAAAATTCAGATTTATAATTGGCTTGATTTCGCGGCAGTCTTAGACATACTTGGAAATTTTGGTGATCAAGACAATCTCATTTCCAAGTTATTTTCAAGTGGAATTTGACTGTTATGAGTATTATATTTAATGCTGATTGAAATGTCATAGTATTTTAAAAAATATTTATTTATATTTATTTCGGAGACAGAGACTTGCTTTGTAGTTGAGGCTGGCCTTGAACTCACTATATAGCTGAAGCTGGCCTCCAACTTGTGGCAGTCCTACTGTCTTAGCCTCCCAAGTGCTAGGATTACAGGCATGTGGCACCATACCCAGTGTTGTCATGGTATGGTTTTTTTTTGTTTTGTATGGGGAATCAAACTCATGACCTCAGGCTTGCCAGGCAAGTGCTTATGCTACTGAGATAGATCTCTGGCCCTGTCATGGTATGTTTTTTAGGCGTTTAAATATTTATTTTGGTCAGATGTGGTGCACAACTGCCATCCCAGCACTCAGGAGGCTGAGGCAGGAGGGTCTCGGTGAGTTTGAGGCCAACTTTAAAACTACATAGCAATTTCAAGGCCAGCCTGGACTCCATAGACCCTGTCTTTATAAAACAAAACCAAATCTATAATCCCAGTGAGCTCAAGGCCAGCCTGAGCTACATAGTAAGAACCCTG